TCCCTAGTGCTTTGTCCTGTGCCCTGCCTGCATTTTGTCTGTTCTTTCTGCCTGGAAACTGAGAAACGTCCATGGCGTCCAAAAAGTGTCCCTTTAGGTCAAAAGCGGTTTAGATCAGCTAGAGAACAGCGATAGTAAATCAGAACCACTTGCAGAATTGAGTGATAATGATTTGTGGGGGAAATTCGTCATCAGACACTGAAAACGATTTTGCGACTGAGCTCAGCAATGTGCGAACTTGGCGCTATATTTCAAATTTCAGTGTTTTTGGTTTGATTACATTATTGAATTAAATTTTTTATTATTTTTATATTATTTTTATGATTATTTATTAAATTATAATTTATGATTTTGTGTTTCAAATTTTATCATACCCGGGATGTTTACTAGACTCTTGTTCGGACAGATTTCAGTGAGTTTTTCCTAAAAATTACAGCCTACAATAAAAAAAATACATATTTCCATGCAAAAAAATGGTACCGCTTTCAGCACCAAAAATCTGAAATAATCATACCGCCAGGGAGGTTAATTTGGATTATTGTTGCCAAAATTTATTTTGGGTGGGATATGCTGCTGACACTTTGGTGTTTTTTGTAAGTGGTGCTTTTTTCTTCTTTTTTAATTTGGTATGCGGTTAATAGGGACTGGCAAGAATGCCAGGGGTTTTACACAAAGGAAGCAATACAAAGAGAACAGGAGACTTATTCATACAAGTACATGGTATGGCAGACACATATCAGGAATATGAAATATTGGAGTAACATATTCTTTAATGTCCTCCTTGTTCCTCTTTGCATACAGTCTCTATGTATATGTTTTATATGCTGCCTAGTAAAATCTGCCATACACCATCACTTTGTGTTTCTCGTCTTTATCAATAAAGATCTTCTCGGACTTCTCCTGTCCTTTATCGGGGGATTCACTATATACAGTAGTTTCTCTTTAATGTCTTGCCCACCCAAACATTTAGGCACTTATCATGGTGTTTACAGTATAGGGAAGTATCGGGAATGTGCGTAGGATTCCAGCCGGGCCACCCACCATTGTACTGTATATATGGGGAACCAGCTGGCTGCCATTATTTATTATTTGCTGATTTATACAAGTTCCTTTGAAATTCCGATTCATTTTGGCCTTGTGCGAACGCCTGACCAACGCGGACCCCGAGCGTGAAAAACCGGAGCTTCATAAGATTTGCAGAATAGAAGGTGAAATCATATGATCAGGCTGCTGAAAAATATTTGGCCGTTTGCGGAATGCGACTTATACCATTATGAGGGTTTGGTGTATTGTGAGTGGCTGCGTTCCAGAAACACATAAAAGTGATTGCCAACATGAGATGGAGGAGAGACAACAACTTCAGAGGATCAGGAAATCCAAAAATGAAACGGAGGAAAGTACAAGGTCACTGAGAGGGAAATGTGTCAGGGGAGGTTCACTTCTCTATTGTCCAGGGAATTGGTTAAAGCAGAACTCCGGGCAAACAACTAACTACACAGATGAAATACATATAGGCAAGATGTTCACCTACCACTGGGTTTGTATTCCAGTCCATCCAGTCCTGAGATTTACACTGCTCTGCCACAAAGCACAACCCTTTTGGCAAGGCTGGAGACCTGATTGTTCTCTCTGTTGCACAAGTAACATTTACAGGTCTTGTCCCTTGCCCAGCCTGTGACTGGATGGTAAAAAGAGAAACAGCAGACTGATTAAAGTGATACTAAACCCACATCCAGGGGCAGACTGACCATTCGAGCACTCGGGCACTACCGGAGGGCCCAGAGTTAGTAGGGGGCCCCATGAAATGCCACTGGTACCTTTTTTATAGGCTTTTTTGGGTGTGCTTTGAGTGTGGGCAAGGACACAGAGGCCCCATGATCCCCTATTGCCCGGGGGCCCCATAAGTTGTCAGTCCGCCCCTGCCCACAACAATAAAATCAGTCTGTATATGCAGTGGTGTATTTTGGTTTTGTGCTGCCCTAGGCAAGACTAAAATCAGGTGCCCCTCCATCTACATTTCTCCCACCCCTTTCTGTGTAAGGCCCACCACTTCATCTGTAAATTCCACCCCTTCCTTTTTAGGCTCCACCTCTTCATATTAGAGCTCCACCTCTTCAGAGGAGGTAGGTGAGAGAGAGGGGAGTAAGAGAGAGAAAGGGGGGTGAGAGAAAAAGAGGGGGCAAGAGTTAGAGAGAGAGAGGGGAGGTGAAGAGAGAGGGGGTGAGAAAGAGAGACTTCATATGCCTCCACTCCTAGATAACACCAGACTCTCTGCATCTCCCCACTCCTAGATAACAACACACCCCTCTAAACCCCCTGTACTCCATATAACACCAGACCCCCAAATATCCTCACCAGACTCCCTGTACTCCTATACCCCCTGTACTCTTAGATAACACCAGACCCCCCGATACCCCCTGTGCTCATAGATAACACTAGACCCCCCTATACCCCCACTCCTATATAAACCAGACCCCCCCTATACTCCCCCATCCTAGATAACACCAGACCCCCAGATATCCCCACCAGACTCCCTGTACTCTTAGATAACACCAGACCCCCCCCCCCCCATACACCCTGTACTCCTATATAACACTAGACCCCTCATATCCCCCACTCCTAGATATCACCAGACTCCCTATATTCCTAGATAACACCAGACCCCCCTACACTCCCCAATCCTAGATAACACCAGACCCCCCCCCCATACCCCCTGTACTCCTAGATAACACTAGACCCCTCATATCCCCCACTCCTAGATATCACCAGACTCCCTATATTCCTAGATAACACCAGACCCCCCTACACTCCCCAATCCTAGATAACACCAGACCCCCCACCCCCCCATACCCCCTGTACTCCTAGATAACACTAGACCCCTCATATCCCCCACTCCTAGATATCACCAGACTCCCTATATTCCTAGATGATACCAGACCCCTCTACACTCCTCAATCCTAGATAACACCAGACCTCCCCCCTCATACCCCCTGTACTCCTAGATAACACTAGACCCCTCATATCCCCCACTCCTAGATATCACCAGACTCCCTATATTCCTAGATAACACCAGACCCCCCTACACTCCCCAATCCTAGATAACACCAGACCCTCCGGCCTGAACCCCCCCCCCCCATACCCCCTGTACTCCTAGATAACACTAGACCCCTCATATCCCCCACTCCTAGATATCACCAGACTCCCTATATTCCTAGATAACACCAGACCCCCCTACACTCCCCAATCCTAGATAACACCAGACCCCCCACCCCCCCATACCCCCTGTACTCCTAGATAACACTAGACCCCTCATATCCCCCACTCCTAGATATCACCAGACTCCCTATATTCCTAGATAACACCAGACCCCCCCTCATACCCCCTGTACTCCTAGATAACACTAGACCCCTCATATCCCCCACTCCTAGATATCACCAGACTCCCTATATTCCTAGATAACACCAGACCCCCCTACATTCCCCAATCCTGGATAGCACCAGACCCCCCCGACACTCCCCACTCCTAGATAACACCAAACCCCCCTACACTCCCCCACTCCTAGATAACACTTGACCCCTCATACCACCCCACTCCTAGATAACACTTGACCCCTCATACCACCCCACTCCTAGATAACACCAGACCTCCCCCCTCATACCCCCTGTACTCCTAGATAACACTAGACCCCTCATATCCCCCACTCCTAGATATCACCAGACTCCCTATATTCCTAGATAACACCAGACCCCCCTACACTCCCCAATCCTAGATAACACCAGACCCCCCCCCCCCCCATACCCCCTGTACTCCTAGATAACACTAGACCCCTCATATCCCCCACTCCTAGATATCACCAGACTCCCTATATTCCTAGATAACACCAGACCCCCCTACACTCCCCCAATCCTAGATAACACCAGACCCCCCACCCCCCCATAACCCCCTGTACTCCTAGATAACACTAGACCCCTCATATCCCCCACTCCTAGATATCACCAGACTCCCTATATTCCTAGATAACACCAGACCCCCCCTCATACCCCCTGTATACTCCTAGATAACACTAGACCCCTCATATCCCCCACTCCTAGATATCACCAGACTCCCTATATTCCTAGATAACACCAGACCCCCCTACATTCCCCAATCCTGGATAGCACCAGACCCCCCCGACACTCCCCACTCCTAGATAACACCAAACCCCCCTACACTCCCCACTCCTAGATAACACTTGACCCCTCATACCACCCCACTCCTAGATAACACTTGACCCCTCATACCACCCCACTCCTAGATAACACTTGACCCCTCATACCCCCCCACTCCTAGATAACACCAGACTCCCTGTACTCCTATACCCCCTGTACTCTTAGATAACATAGACCCCCCCCCCCCCGTACTCCTAGACAACACTAGACCCCTCACATCCCCCACTCCTAGATAACACCAGACCCCCCTATATTCCTTGATAACATCAGACCCTCCCTACACTCCCCACTTCTAGATAACACCAGAACCCCCTATACTCCCCCCCATCCTAGATAACACCAGACCCCCAAATACTCCCACCAGACTCCCTGTACCCCTAGCTAGTACCCAGCTTTTTGTACTCCTGAAGGTAGTAGGAGTTCATATTCTGTCCCAGTCACCTCCAGCCCAGCACAGAGCCCCCTTGTCTGTGTCCTTACCCCCCATTTCCAGAGTCAGAAGCCCCAATTATCAGAATCAGATCCCCTTAGGGTTGAAGTCAGAGCCCCATTATTAGCAGAGTCAGTGCCCCAAGTCTCATTTGCTCTCTGTGAGTGAGTTGGTGAAGACAGTGAGTGGAGTGGTGACAGCTGAGCTAGTCTCATCAGTTCCAGAGTCCAGGAGAGTGGCTCGAAGGAGGACACCTCCAGCACTCTGCCTCAGCTGTAAAGATACTAGTTCCTGAGAGGGCCCTTTGTGGCTGTTTCAGGGGGTCCTCCAGATCCTCCTTCACTGGGATCCAGGGGGGCACGCATGGGGGGACTGACTCTGGTCTTTTCCCCGGTGCCCGGTTCTGCTGTGTTCCTCTCCTCTGCACCTTTCCCGGTGGCAAATTGTGTCTCTCCTTCCTGCTGTGATTCATGATCTCCCTCCAAGCTTAGTTTGCCTCTGCCAGTTGTCCGGGCCCCCTACTGGCCCCGGGGCCTCAGGCAGTGCCCGAGTGCCGGAATGGTCAGTCTGCCCCTGGCTGTGACAGTCCACCTGCCCAAGGGAGTCGGTGGAACTGCAGGAAAAAACACTTGGGAACCACTGAGTTGCCCTGAAGACCGCTCACAACCATGTGTGTCCCATCTGCCTGGGGGCGGTGCCTCACGGTAGATATGCCCCTGTGTATATGCAGTAAAGCATGCTTGCTATACTGACTGTGGAATCTAAGGGGTTAATTCCCTGCATTGTGTAAAAAGGCTGTTTGATTCTGTCTTTTCTGATCCTCCCCTTCTTCTACTCTCCCCAATCCATCTGCCATAGTACAGAGCAGCAGGGGCAAGTCTGCACATGCTCTGTTTGGAATGTATTGCTAGAAAGTGTTTTCTTTTTGGGGGGGGGGTGCACATGTGATCAGCACAGGGCCAATCAGCACTGTCCAGACGGGGTCACGGGTTATGCAGCCTCATTGGACAATCAGAGGAGAATGAAAACTCCTCCTACAAGCTTTAACCAGTGTTCTGCTGAACACTGATAGCAGTCACAAGACTGCTCTAACTGCTGATGAGAAAAGGTATTTAGCAGTTTATATTTACTAAAATAATTGAATTTCCGTGTTCTGTGTACTGTGGGAGACCAGATATAGTGAATGCAGGGTTCGGGGAGACCAGATATAGTGAATGCAGGGTCCTGGGAGACCAGATATAGTGAATGCAGGGTAATGGGAGACCAGATATAGTGAATTCAGGGTCCGGGGAGACCAGATATAGTGAATGCAGGGTCCTGGGAGACCAGATATAGTGAATGCAGGGTCCGGGGAGACCAGATATAGTAAATGCGGGGTCCTGGGAGACCAGATATAGTGAATGCAGGATCCTGGGAGACCAGATATAGTGAATGCAGGGTCCGGGGAGACCAGATATAGTGAATACGGGGTCCTGGGAGACCAGATATAGTGAATGCAGGGTCCTGGGAGACCAGATATAGTGAAATGCAGGCAGGGTTCGGGGAGACCAGATATAGTGAATGCAGGGTCCTGGGAGATCAGATATAGTGAATGCAGGGTCCTGGGAGACCAGATATAGTGAATGCAGGGTCCTGGGAGATCAGATATAGTGAATGCAGGGTCCGGGGAGGCCAGATATAGTGAATGCAGGGTCCGAGGAGACCAGATATAGTGAATGCAGGGTCCTGGGAGATCAGATATAGTGAATGCAGGGTCCGGGGAGACCAGATATAGTGAATGCAGGGTCCGGGGAGACCAGATATAGTGAATGCAGGGTCTGGGTTTAGTAACACTTTATCTCCGTCACTCTGCCCTCTTCTCCTAGCACAGCTGATTGGCTCCTTCTGTTGCTTTTCCCTCTCCCAGTCTGAGCTCCACTATACAGGGGAAAACAAGAAGGCAGGTCAAATTCAATTATTCACTCTGCATGCATTTAAAAGACACCTTGACTGGCTCCCCATTATGTGACCACTGTGACAGCCAATTACAGTGGTCACATGATGAGACGATTCTTCTTGCATCCCCCCCCTCCACTCCTTGAACTTTTTAAAGGGATGCAGGGATGCCAGGGTAGAAAGGAAGGGGTTAAAGATCAACTCCGTGCATATGTAAAAAACACATGCCATTTCTTAGCAAGGGTTTTCCTGATGGTGACAACAGAACCCTGGTGTACACAGAATCTGTTGCAGCTGTGCAATATGCATAGTAACCAATCAGCCTCCAGGTTTTATTGCCAAATCTGAAGTTAGAAGCTGTTGGTTTGTGTGTTTTTTTTATTATTATTATTATTATTATTACCCTAACCCTAACAAAATAATAAATAAATATTAATAAAATAATAAATAAAATACTAGCCCCAACCCAAACCCTAACCCCTAATCCTAACCCTAACCTAACTTTAACTCTAAGCCCTTACCCTAACAAAAATGAAATAATAATAAATTATTATTATTATTAATAATAATAAAAAAGAAATAAAAACTGATGTTAAAGCTGAAGCTGAAAAATTTTGCGACATATATTTTATTCTATTGGTTAATAAAAAAAATGCCAAAGCTCAAAAATGGCTAAAAACGCTGTCTGAAAACATGCAAAGCCACGTAAAATTATGGTAAAATATGCACGAGAAATGCTGAAAAACGATGTGAATGGAGTCTAATGATTCAGAATCACATGATAAATTCCTATAAATAGTGGAAGTCTGCAGTGAGAGCTCCAGCATATGTTTGGAGGGATCTCTATGAACATTCCGGACGTTGGAGTTTTTCCTCCTCATATCTCATCCCATTGTAGTTCTCAATTCTGTAAAGTAGGACAAGCCCCAACAAGACGAATGTTATCTCTTATTTGTAAGATGCCAACATTCCTCGTCCACAATAAAACCCGGGCAAAGACAGAGCCATGTATGATATAAGTGCCATGGCACGTAGTCTAATCCCTGGGGTCAGAGGAGTCGGAACATTCGTCTTTAGAACAATCAGCTGATATAAATATTATTATTGCAGAAAGTTCAACAACCTATCCGGTAACTCTTCAATACAGGCATTGATGATTATTTACATTACAGGGATTGTACAGTCTTTTAAATGTTTCTTTACATCACAACGAGGGCCAAATAACTAAAAACACACAATAGATACATACAGTATATGGCAGCTGTTTTACAGGCCAAAGGATTTGTATTTCCATCCATCCTGTCCTCAGATTTACACAACTCTGCCACACAGCACAACTTGTTTGGGAAGAGAAGGGACCTAATATTTCTCTACTGCCATTTACAGCAGTATTTCACTTAGAAAAGGGAGTGTTTAACGCGGTATTAAACCCCAAACCAAAAATGTCATATATTGCAGTTTGCCAATCCTTAGATGTGTGGCTACATTTGTTTTTTTTTCTAGGCTTTTTCCCTCTGTTTTCACCTGGTGATCCAGTGCGTAACACACTTTCTGTATTAGGCTCCAGTCTCATCTCAGCATAGTATTTTTCAGTATTTCTCGCGGGTGTTTTTGCGCATTTTCATACAGCGTTTTTATCCGTTTATGAGCTTTGGAGTTTTTTTTATTAGCCAATAGTGGAAAAATATCATCTGTTGCATCATTTGTTGCTAGGTTTTTTCTGTTTTTTTTTTTTTTAGTTTTTCCATCAGCTTTTAGTTTTTATTATGATTATTATTAATATTTTTTTATTATTTCGATTTATGTTAGGGTAAGGGGTTAGAGTTAAGATTCGGCTAGAGTTAGGATTAGGGTTTGGGTTGGGGTTAGGGTTTTATTTATTATTTTCTTCTTATTTATTTATAGTATTTTATTTATTATTTTCTCATTATTTATTTATTTTTTGTTAGGGTAATAATAATAATAATAATAAAGAGAGAGAGGTGCAGGGGAGGGTGATGCTATTGGTTGTCAGGACGCCGGCGGCTAGAAGGTCGTAATGGTGCACAATGAAAACCTATGGCTTTGTGTAATAAAATTTGTATACAAATTTTGGGAAATTTTTATACATTTTGCCAAGGCACCCCTGAAGGAACCTCAAGGCAGCCTAGGGTGCCTACAGTAGGTACCCTGGTTGAAAAAGGCTGTCTTAAACAAATATAATTAAAAAAAAATAAATACAATATTAAAAATGTTATGTATAATATTATATCCATTATACTATTATTATGTTTATAATTGTACACCCCTCACATTTTTGTAAATATTTGATTCTATCTTTTTATGTGACAACACTGAAGAAATTACACTTTGCTACAATGTGACGTAGTCAGTGTACAGCTTGTATAACATGTAAATTTGCTGTCCCCTCAAAATAACTCAACACACAGCCATTAATGTCTAAATCGCTGGCAAAAAACGTGAGTACACCCCTAAGTGAAAATGTCCAAATTGGGCCCAAAGTGTCAATATTTTGTGTGGCCACCATTATTTTCCAGGACCCTCTTGGGCATGGAGTTCACTGGACCTTCACAGGTTGCCACTGGAGTCCTCTTCCACTCCTCCATGACGACATCACGGAGCTGGTGGATGTTAGAGACCTTGTGCTCCTCCACCTTCCATTTGAGGATGCCCCACAGATGCTCAATAGGGTTTAGGTCTGGAGACATGCTTGGCCAGTCCATCACCTTTACCCTCAGCTTCTTTAGCAAGGCAGTGGTGGTCTTGGAGGTGTGTTGGGGTCATTATCATGTTGGAATACTGCCTTGCGGCCCAGTCTCCGAAGGGAGGGGATCATGCTCTGCTTCAGTATGTCACAGTACATGTTGGCATTCATGGTTCCCTCAATGAACTGTAGCTCCCCAGTGCCGGCAGCACTCATGCAGCCCCAGACCATGACACTCCCACCACCATGCTTGACTGCAAGCAAGACACACTTGTCTTTGTACTCCTCACCTGGTTGCTGCCACACACACTTGACACCATCTGAACCAAATCAGTTGATCTTGGTGTCATCAGACCACAGGACATGGTTCCAGTAATCCATGTCCTTAGTCTGCTTGTCTTCAGCAAACTGTTTGTGGGCTTTCTTGTGCATCATCTTTAGAAGAGGCTTCCTTCTGGGATGACAGCCATGCAGACCAATTTGATGCAGTGTGCGGCGTATGGTCTGAGCACTGACAGGCTGACCCCCCACCCTTCACCCTCTGCAGCAATGCTGGCAGCACTCATATGTCTATTTCCCAAAGACAACCTCTGGATATGATGCTGAGCACGTGCACTCAACTTTTTTGGTCGACCATGGCGAGGCGAGGCCTGTTCTGAGTGGAACCTGTCCTGTTAAACAGCTGTATGGTCTTGGCCACCGTGACGCAGCTCAGTTTCAGGGTCTTGGCAATCTTCTTATAGCCTAGGACATCTTTAGAGCAACAATTCTTTTTTTCAGATCCTCAGAGAGTTCTTTGCCATGAG